TGGTTTCTAGGAACACGGCAGGGTGGAAATAAATACTGGAGAAAGCATGAAATACTCCTTCACCAGGGTCCTGCCCACCTCACCCACCCATCTCCTACAACTTAACACCCAAGCTGCAGAGTCCAAATTGCTATTCCAAGAGCTACTCTATGTTCTCCTGCCTCTGTTATCTTAATCATTCTGTTTCCTCTATGTGGGAACCCTCCTGACCCCCAGGCCTGGCACACGTTTGACGAAAGAAATAAATGATACAGGAAGATAGCCAGGTGGCACCACAGGGACAAGGACTGCTTCCTCTATGGGGTACCACTGCTGGGAAGAGCCAGAGCTGAGACCCTGGACTGAGCAGGGTACCAGGGGTTCCCATGAGGCCACGCAGCCTGAGATCAGGCTGGACAGGTCTTCCCGTGCTGGCTTCTGACCCGGAAGAAAGAAGTGATGAGGTTTCCCAAGTCTCTGACCTTTGCCCTGCCCTGGTGTTCTGAAAATCTCAGTCTCCTTCTGTACTCCCAGTGCCTCTCTGGCACCTCCTACAGGCTGAGTCGTTCTCTCCAGGCGCACCAAGCCCAGACCTTCTGGCCCCTTCTCTCCCTTCCTCTCCTTTGATTGTCTGTTTTTCACTGTGCTAGATGCAACTGGGCCACACAGTAGGAGCTAAATGAATGTATCTGGAACAAATGAAGCTTTCCCTGGCTACTAGCACCCACATGGTTATGCTCTTTTTCAGAATTCCTAGAACTCTTGTGAGCAAAGTCCTACATAAGCAACCAGGCCCCCATGAGACACTCAGTCCCTAAACCAACAAATTGCCAGAGGGGCCCCGGCTGGCTCCAGATGCATGTCCCCGGCACCCATCCCAGACCTCCCTAGTCCTCGTCTTTGAAGGCAACCTCAGCAGTGCGTGGTGCAGCAGGGCCCACAGGGGAATGCGGGGCCCGGCCAGGGAGTACCCACCGAGGAACAGTAAGGAAAGCTCAAGAGAGCCCCCTGGCACAAACACGGGGATCATCATGCCAGTCCTCCAGGATCAAGTCACATGACAAACAGAAACAGATACAAACACTAAAACCCCAGGTGTGCTTAAGGGCTGAGGGCTGCGGGCTGCCAGGGCATGTGCCGTCTTTTTTTTTTTTTCTTTTGAGATGGAGTCTCACTCTGTTGTCCAGGCTGGAGCACAGTGGTGCAATCTCGACTCACTGCAAGCTCCACCTCCCAGGTTCACGCCATTCTCCTGCCTCAGCCTTCCGAGTAGCTGAGACTACAGGCCCCCACCACCACGCCCGGCTAATTTTTTGTATTTTTAGTAGAGACGGGGTTTCATCGTGTTAGGTCAGGATGGTCTTGATCTCCTGACCTCGCAATCCGCCCACCTCAGCCTCCCAAAATGTTTGGATTACAGGTGTGAGCCACCGCGCCCTGCCATGTGCACCATCTTACTCTCCATCTGAGCTGCCACCCAACTGTGGTCACAGCTGTGGCCCCTTCTCTGTCTAGCTGAGGCTTGACCCAAACAAGAAACCACCACATCTCTTTACCATAGTCCCTTTAGGATGTCACCAAGCCCACAGCCCAGGGCAGGCAATCTGTGAACTGAATGAAAGTGAGTGGGTAAGTGAGAACGCTCTGGTGGCCAGGCCAGGCTGGCTGGAATGCTCAAAGTAAGTGTTTAAAAAAAAAAAAAAAAAAGCCCTAGGGGGAAAACAATGGAGAAACTTGAGCAAGTCACCCAGTTGACAAAGCCCAGCTCTGGCACACACAATAGTAGCCATATGGCACACACACACCTAATAGGTCCACCTCCACTTCCAGTTGGGGAGCTCCTCCGGAACTGCCAGAGGGGACCCCAGCCCCTCCCCCAGCCCCTGCTCCTCCTCTGTGCGGGGGCCCTCACCTGCACACACTGACTGGGACCAGCAGACCTTCCCAGGACCTGCTGGATCTCAGGCTGCTTCTCCCAACAGCTTCTCGGGGCTCCTGGCTAGCTTGGTCCAACTTCCTGCACTCCACATGCCCAGTGTCCCCATTTGGACTGAGGCCCTGGTTCTCCTGCATCCTTCTTTCTAGGACTCAGCCAGGAAACCCAAGCTGTCAGGGAGCGCTCTCTGTAGGTGAGTGCCAAGCAGGAAGTGGGCTCCTGTTGAAGACTCTCTCTGGCTGTACCCGCTTGGCTCCCTTCCTTCTCTGAGCCTCAGTTTCCCCACTAGTGAGGTGAAGGTGGTTCAGAGGTTCTGCACATAGTGAGCCCTCCAGCTCTCCCTCCCAGCTGAAGGTGGTACTTCTTCCACTCCCTCAGCCCAAGTAACGGGCAGGTTTCCTCTTTCCTTGGCCTCTGGTGGGAAAGGAACTTTTCAAAATGGTCTCCCTCCCCTCAAATCCTGTCCTGAAACACAGGAAAGCCAAACATCCCCTGCTTCCTCCTGCCCTGGACACAGGGTCAGAAGTGACTGTGAGTGGCAGAGAGACTACAGGAGGCCTAAGTGCCCACTGCACTTCCTCAGAGCCGAATGGATCCTGACCGCAGGTCCCACGTCACCTTCAGAGCTGGGACAAACAAACCCTTCACCGAAGTCTAAACAGTGGGGGAGGCTTTGTTATACACTCGGAACATGCCGCCCCTTTCCACGAAGAGGCTTACCCCCAGGAAACATAGGAGCTGGCTCCCAGCTGACACTGTGTTTATGTAACAGCCTAGGTCTGTTCGACCCTGGGGCTGGGGGTGGAGGGCTCAGTCTCAGTCCAGCCTCAGAGTGTGCTCAGAAACACCCAGGGAGTCTGCGCCTCTCCCTCCTTGCAGAAAGAAGGTGGGGACGCGGCTTTGCAGGACAGAAGCAATATGGTTTGGCAGATGGAGAGGAGTTCTATCGCAGGAAGGATATAGGGCAGAAATTGAAGAAGGAATGTTTTTTTTTTCTTTTTGAAGACTGTCTACAGCAGAAAAGTGGGAACGCAAGAGAGGTGAGGTGGATAAAGATGACGGTGCCAGGAGAGGCTGGGCAGGGGGGAGGGAGGGAGGGAGAGCAGGGCAGCAGGGCCCAGGAGTGGGAACAGCAGGGCTGAGAACGGATGTGTGAGCCGCAGCTGGGTCGGTCTGGTGACAATGAGACACCGGCTCCCAGGATTTCACGAGAGTGAGGCCGAGCTTCCAGGCCTAGTAGCTGGAACCGTGGGGTATTTCCAAACCGCAATGGAGAAGTTGGTCAGGGGAGGGCTCTAGGAGGGGAAATTCTGCCTGTTGTGTTAAATTTAAGACAAGGCAAAAAACTCAAGGGCGCCCCAGGAATCACCACCTTCACATCACAAAAGGCGCTCAACCAGAGGCTCCCCTGAGCTGGGGAGGAGGGGTCGCTGCTCATCAAGCTGGAGCCCTGGGGAGCCCGGAAACCTGTCCCTGCTCTGGGAAAAGCTCGGAAGCAGATGTGCCCCCACCCTCCTGTGGCCAGCCCACGAGGCTTGTCGCCCTCCAGAAGGAGCTGGGGGAAGGCAAGCTTGGAGCAAATCAGGAATGTCTTTACTTCCTCCAAGGACAGTGAAGCTGCAGCAACGATGTCTCTCCCGCCTCCACCCTCTTCAGATCTAAGAGGAAAAATTGGTCATCTTCTCTCTTTGGGGCCCAGGGCTCGCACAAATGCCATCTCCTAGTCCCCAGCTACAGCGGTGATTCAGGCCATTTACTCAGATCCACGTTAATGAGATTTTTCTGTCACCTAATTAGTTCACAGAGAACTCAGCCTTGAGAGGAAAGAAGTAAGAACCGGTTGGGAAAAGGCAGAAGGAAGGCAGACTGCCATGTCACAACAAAAGATAGGACCCAGCACTACATGGGGTCCCCCCAGACCCAATACTCCTTCCTCAGCTATGGGGGCCTCTGAAAGTAGAAAGGGAGGTGTTCAGGTGCACTACCCCCCAGAACCTCAGGCAAGCAGATGAAGCTGGGAGTGGGGCCCTAACCTTAAGGCCCAAGTCAGGAACAGGCCCCTGCCCACAACTCCATGTTATCGCAAAAGGCCTTGGCTCTCGCTGCATTTCCACGGAGGCCAAACCCACCACCTGCCGGTGGGCGTCCCCTTTCAAACAGAGCTGGGGGAGGAAGCAGATGGCCCAGGGCGAGGCCCATCTGTCCGTGCCCGCTCGAAGGTCACCACGCCACTGGCGTGACTGCGGGTGCCGCCAGCACCCACCACACCAGGGCTTGCGAGCCATCTACCAGCAGCGTGCCCCTACTTCCTGTGCCCTCAATGGTCGAAAGTCCAGGGCCTAAGGGCCCAGAGAAAAAAGCGCTAGGCAGCGCAGTGGCCGGGGATTTCCAGTCCCCGACTCCGGGTGCGGTGTCCCTGGAGGTCAGTCAGCGCCCGGCTGCCCCGCGGCTGCCACCAGACCGAGGAGCCGCGGGTCCCTGGCGCGCTCACGACCCGGCCAAGGCGCGGATGGACCTGCCGGCGCCTCCCACGCGGTCGCGGCGCCGCAGCCCAGCGCCAGGCCCGGCCCGCGCCCGCTTGGCCGCCGCGGCGTAGGGGGTGTGCGTCGGGAGAGGGCGCCGCGGCGAGCGCCACCCTCCGGGCCTGCGGGCGCTGGGCCAGGGAAGGCTGCCATCCACTAACGCGAGGCTCCGATCCCCCGCCCCACTGCGGAGCAGGGCCCGGGCAGCGGCTAAGATGCCTCCCCCGTCACGGCCCCACCTCCCGGCAGCTGAAGCCCTCTGCCGCGCCCACCTTCCCCGGCCAGGCCTGGATAGATCTGGTCCTGGCCCCCCGAAGCGACACCACCTTCGCGCCCTGGAGCACAGTGAGCAGAAAACCCCCAACCCCAAAGTGTCCCCGAACGAGATATGGCGAAGCTGCCCGCCGGTTCTGCAGCACAGATCGGCAAACCTCGTGGCCTGGACCTCAAGCGCGCAAGGACCCCCGACAGGGAGAGCATGGCCAGGACCGGCCCGTGGAGCCCTCGACCGGAGCCGGAGAGGCCACCGCGCCCCTGCTCCCGCAGCCCCCGGCTTCGCTCACCCTCGATGGAGATGACGTGCTCGCGGATCTGGTTCTGCAGCGCCAAATCCTCGATGCGCTCGATCAGGTCGTAGATGGCGTAGATATTGGGATGCACGGACTCGAAGCGCTGGATCTCGGCCCGGATGGCCGCGGAGTTGGAGAGCGCGAACTGCTGGGGGGGCCCGCCGGCCAGCTGCTGCGAGGGGACGCCGCCGCCCCCAGCCCCGGGCCCCGCGCCGCCGAACTGCCCGCCGCCCCCCGCGCTGCCGCCGCCGCCGCCGCCGCCGCCGCCCCCCGGAGCCGCCAGGCTCTGCTGCTGCTGCGGGCTCTGCCCCCCGCCCGCCTGGAAGTTCATGGCTTCGGAGCCGTGGGGCCCGAGGCGGGCCCGGGGCGGCGCGGCGGAGGCGGCGGCGGCGAGCGGGCGCGCGGGGCTGGCGGGGCCGGGACTACTGGGCTGGTGGCGCGGGGCTAGCGCATGGAGCCGGGGGCCGGGGGCCGGAGGCCGAGGCCAGGAGGCGCCGCCGCGCACGCTGTGGCCGCCGCTGCCGAGCGCTTCCCGGCGCCGTGATCCCGCTGCCTCGGAGCAGCCTCCAGCGGCAACAACAACGGGACCGGGAGCGCGCGGCCCGGGCCCTCCCCCCGCGTCATGCGCACGCACCGCCGCCCCCGCCGGCTCCGGCACACGCAGCCCGAGCCCCCCTCCCCGCCGCCCCCGCCCCTCCTGCGCGCCGGCCCGGGCGCCCCCGCCCCTCGCTCGCTAGCTGACTCTTCAGCCTCCACCCCCGAGCCGCGCGCTCCAGCCCAGGCGCCCGGGCCCCTCCCACTCAGCTTCGGCCCTTCCGCCTCCTCACCAGCCCGCACCCGCATTGCCTCGGGGGCCACCCTCTCCGAGGGGACAGCTGCCCTGGTCTCCTCCCGCGCCCGGCTGTCGCTTTCGCCTCCCTGCGCTGATCTGGGCCGGGTGTCCGATCTCTAGGCAATGCCCAAACAGTGCCCTGCGCCTGAGGGTGCTGCTGACCGAGGCTGATTGGTCGAGGAGCCCGCCCAGGCCCAGCAGCTCCTCGCTTACAGCGTCCCGCCTTCAGTGCGGCATAGGCTCCCCTGTCCCCAGGCTCCGAGGTCAGCCCTAGAGACCACCCTGCTGCCAGAGTTTTCTCCCTGGCTCCCTGCCCAGTCTCTCCACTGCCGGCTGCAGCTCAAGAGGCTGGGATGGGTTCTGGGCTGCTATTTCCAGTTCCCCCTGAGCGCTTCATCATCGGCGCGCCCCTGGAAATGACACTTTGAACAAACTCGTCTCTACTCTTACCTTCTCGTGATCGGCCTCTCCTAAAAGACCGTCCCCCTGCTGGACTTGGAAGATTAGCTAAATGCCACCCGACCCCATTGGTACACAGAGGAAGAAGAGGGAGGGATGAAATATATGCCTTTCTCCTCTACTCATCCCATTGGAGAGACCAACCAAAGCCCACGTGGCTCTCAATTTTTCTTGTCCTCACCCCTTGTCCATCCTGTCCTTTCACTCCCTCTAGGGTCAGGTAGCTCCCTGCAATGTCCTCTGCAGTGCCATTGCCAAAGTGGGCTGCAGTTGTTAGCCACCCCCCCCACCCACCCCAAAACACACACACTCACACACACACACACACACACACGTTTCCTAAAACCTACAAGAGGTGACATTTGCAGAGCAGTGGCCCCAGCCAATAAATCTCCCAGAGATGTTGCAGGGTATCTGCTACCCCCAGATATCCTCGGGCATCACTGACACACATTGTCCTTCTTACACACACTTCCACTTCCCCAGCCAAGCTGGATCTTTTCCCAGCATGAAGCTGTCCACCATTTGATTACCCACACAACTCAGCCCCAGTACCAACCCAGTCACTATTCCTGAGTTCCTTGTACCTTCCAAAGCACCTGGTGCAAGCTAATCAACACATAGGGTCTCCTAAGCTCCTGAGGAATCTATGTCTGTGTTTCTATCTCCCTGCATAACCTTAAGGATATCTTGTGCCCTCTCTGGGTTTCATCTGCAAAATATAGTGGTTGAACAGAAAACCTAGTTCTGATGTTGTATAATTCTAAAAGTAACATCCAACATCTCTTTTAGATGCTTAATTAGAATTGACAGCAGGAAGTAGCACCAGGTATACCTCCCAAAAGAGATACTAAGAGCAAAGAGCTCCTCAAATGTGTTGCCCCAGCAACTAGCACACACCTGTTATAGCTCTGATGGGCTGTTCACACGACTAGCTCCTCTACTAGTATATGGAGCCACATGAGGGCAGGAAGATGGTCTGATTCACCATTTTATTCCCAGTATCTTGCACAATGCCTGGCAAATAGTGTGTGTGCATATATATATATATGCATATATATATTTCGAGACAGAGTCTCACTCTGTTGCCTAGGTTGGAGTGCAGTGGCTCGATCTCAGCTCACTGCAACCTCCACCTCCCGCATTCAAGTGATTCTCCTGCCTCAGCCTCCTGAGTAGCTGGAATTACAGGCACCCTCCACCACGCCCAGCTAATTTTTGCAGTTTTAGGAGAGACGAGGTTTCACCATGTTGGCCAGGCTGGTCTTGAACTTCTGACCTCAGGAGATCTACCTACCTCGGTCTCCCAAAGTGCCAGGATTACAGACATAAGCCACCGCGCCTGGCCATAGTATATCTTTTAAAAATATGTTAGTAGAATAAATGAATGAACAGGAGGGATGGAACTAGATAGGTTAGTTCTGTATGGTATCAATCTAGACTGACATTCCTAAGGCAATATTTGGGCCACTTGCTCCCACAGTAGGCAAGAACTACGGGAAAACTAGGATAGATTATTTTAAATCAAGACTGGCCTGTAAAAACCAGGATGTGAGATCTCTGTGGCTACAGGAGCCCAGAGGGAAAAATCCACAGATATCCACAGGCCTGGGATTCAATGTCGTCCACACAGTAACACACCAAGGACCCGATTCCAGAGACCAGCTTTGAGCGGAGGTGAGCAAATAGCTACTGTGTGACATGTACCTTAGTTTTCACACTTTTTAATAAAACATCTAATTTCTTCCTTATGATTGACTTACGACGTATGTTTCAGAAAGGAAGAAATTAATCTTTAGAGAGATTCAATAACCCACCCAAGGTCATATAGCTGAGAAGCACAGGATAAGGGATCAGGATTTGTGCCAGGTTCCAACGTCTATGCTTCTTCCACAGTCCTGAAAGAGCAAGGTGGAGGAGGTGACCAAGGAAAGGGGCAGCCCTGAGGATGGGTATCCCTGGCCAGCCTAGTGGGACAGCCCATGGATATTGGGCTCTGGGCTGAAGAATTAATTTTGGTGGCCAAAGTGCCTTCTGGCGTCCACTCTGACATAAGGGTAGGGGCCACCTGAGTTCCTCAGAGCCTTCCTCACTGCATCACGAACACGGGTGTTCTGACGTGCTTCAGCTGACGTCGGTGTCTGGTGTGACAGATGCTCTGGCTGTTGGCGGGGGAGGGGGCGGACCCTGCTGCCGCCCAAACCTCTAGCCGGTAGCGCAACCCCCCAAAGCCGTCCCCACCGGCCCCTCCGCGATCTGCTGGCGCAGAGAACCGCGGGTGGAGCCCAGCACGTGGGTCCGCAGGGCGGAGGGCGGAGACAAAGCGGCGCCGGACTACAAGTCCCACAATGCCCGGGGCCGCGGCGGCGAGGAAGGAGGGGTGCTTCAGGTGCCTGCGACCTCCGCGCCTCCCGCCCGGAAGTGCCCGAGGGGCCGCGATGGAGCTGGGGCAGCCGGGCGGTGAGTCCCCGCGCCGTGACCGCGCCCACCCCGCCGCCCAGGGCCCCGGCCGGGCCCCGCCCGCCCTGCCCTGGATCGCCGTGCCCTCCTGCGGCTCCGGGGGGCGGGAAGGTGGGAGGGGTGATGAGGGGTGGGGGTAGGGAACGTGAAGTCTCGGATTCCGGGCGGGATCTGGGGTCTGGCAGCCCGCGGGGCTTGGAGACACTTCCAGAGAAGGCGTGGAGTTGGGCCTCTGCGGAGTGGGGTTGAGGGGACCGAGCTGGGTGGGTGGTGACGCTCGGAGGCTCCAGATTGCCCAGGGGCGGAGTTTGACGTTTGCTGTGGGGGAAGCCTGGGAAGCAGTCCTGTGCCGCGGGTGGGGTTTAGGTGAACCGTAATGCGGGGGGCGGGGGGTGGGGGCACAGAGGCTCTACCCCCACCTCGGAGAAACTTTAGCAACGGAGTAGATGAGCATGGGGTGAAGTCGGTGAAGGAGTAGACACACTGGGGTGAAGTGGGCAGGAGAATAGATACGCTTGGGCGTGAAGTTTGGCTGGGGTGAAGTTTAGGGGAGGCGTTCCTTAGGCCCTTACCTTGGGATAGGGTTTGGGTGAGTTGGGAGCTGGTTGAAGACCTCGAGCTCAGATGACAGAAAGTTAGGACTTGGGATTCGGCGATGGGAAGGGGCACCCGGAGGCAAGTTTGGGGCGACTGGGAGGCAAAGCAGCCTGTACCCTGGGGTGGGTGAGGGAACCCAGGCTGAGGACTGTGGGAGCGTCGCGGTGGGGTGGGGGCAGGACCCTGTGGAGGTTCCAGGGCTCCTGGTCAGAGGGCCCGCGCCTCACGGGCTCTTTGTGCCTCTCCAGCTCGGTAGCGCGGCGGGCAAGGCAGGCGCCATGACCCTGATTGAAGGGGTGGGTGATGAGGTGACCGTCCTTTTCTCGGTGCTTGCCTGCCTTCTGGTGCTGGCCCTCGCCTGGGTCTCAACGCACACCGCTGAGGGCGGGGACCCACTGCCCCAGCCGTCAGGGACCCCAACGCCATCCCAGCCCAGCGCAGCCATGGCAGCTACCGACACCATGAGAGCGGAGGTCCCAGGGGCAGAGACCCCCAGCCTGAGACACAGAGGTCAAGCTGCACAGCCAGAGCCCAGCACGGGGGTCACAGCAACACCACCAGCCCCGGACTCCCCGCAGGAGCCCCTCGTGCTACGGCTGAAATTCCTCAATGATTCAGAGCAGGTGGCCAGGGCCTGGCCCCACGACACCATTGGCTCCTTGAAAAGGTACGTAGGTCAAGAGGCAGGAGCAATGCTGAAGACAGGGGTGGGGGGAGTGGTCACAGAAGGCCCCCGGAGAGACCTAAGACCCAGCCCTCCTTTATACTGGAGGCGCTGAGCGCCCCAGATCACAACTGCACTTGTTCCCTTGGCAGACTGCCCCTCCCAGGCCAGGGCCGGTGTGTTGTGGAGGGCAGGGGGAGGGTGGGAGTGTTGTTCCGGGGCCAGGGACTAGGATTGCCTGAGGCCTGCTCTCTTACCCAGGTCCCTCTCTCCTCAGGACCCAGTTTCCTGGCCGGGAACAGCAGGTGCGACTCATCTACCAAGGGCAGCTGCTAGGCGACGACACCCAGACCCTGGGCAGCCTTCACCTCCCTCCCAACTGCGTTCTCCACTGCCACGTGTCCACGAGGGTCGGCCCCCCAAATCCCCCCTGCCCGCCGGGGTCCGAGCCCGGCCCCTCCGGGCTGGAAATCGGCAGCCTGCTGCTGCCCCTGCTGCTCCTGCTGCTGCTGCTGCTCTGGTACTGCCAGATCCAGTACCGGCCCTTCTTTCCCCTGACC